GCTAGACTGAATGCAATACAGTACAATATAAAGATACATTGAACTCCACACTACAAAATTAACTATATTAGTGTATATACCTGTATCTGTTTTGTTTATTCTATAAGATTTTATTGTAACAAAATTTGGGGATTCTCCAGAAATTACTAACTTAATTAATGAGTCCAAAAAAGAGCTTTAAGAAGATGCTTCTTTCATTAAACGAGGACAGGTTACAAGACAAAATATTTTCTTATATCTTTAGCATACATGACGGAACATGATCTAAGGATGGAAAATGGTGAGTGGAATAGACAAGGTCAGTCCTAATAATTATTTTCTTGTTATTTCTGCTTCAAAAACAAAAGGACTTCAATGAAAACCAAGATCAGAGTAGGGTGGTGAGACCTCGGAGACCTCATATGATTTTCTTTTTGTGTATTTTAACTTCTGTGGTATGCTAATACCTACAGCATTTCTATATTTGATATGCAAGTGATTTGCCATCTTCCTAACCTTGATTCTGAAAAAAACAGTGACTTTTTAAGCCAGTGACTTTAGTAATTGCAGAAATGTGTTATGAAGAATCAGGTGAAGTTTTATTGTCAAGCCACATAGATTGTTTTACTGATAGCCACATACACAGTAAGTACACAGCGAAACAAAATGATATTCATGTTGAACCAATGGTGCAACATTCATGACAGGACAGACATTACAGAGCTAAAGACAGAGTTATTGAAGTATTTATTTTGCGCAAAAATTCCCATACAATTATCACAAAATTAAGGGGAAGACAGAGAGTGAAGACCACTACCTATATTTACTAGCTAACATACAGTAACAAACATTGCACATTAAACAAACAAGCACACTACATACACCGGGAAATTAGTGCAGGAAGTACTGTCTATGTTTATAGTGGCAGTGCAGCTGGTATAAACAGCTGTTAATAGTATACAGAAACTGGAATTTCATCGAGACACATAAGGGTTAACTTGCTGTTTGCTATGCAGCATTAACAGCTGTTTTGCCACAATAACTTTCCTTTACTAACAACTTTCCTTTTCATTGAAAGATGATACATCCAGGGTGCAGGAAAAAAACAACAAGCAAAACCTTTTGGTAGAAAGAAATACGAGGCTTGTATTTGGCATTCTTCCTTGTGGAGTTGATACAGGAGTGAAATTTAATAGACAGCAACACTGGCAGCAGAGGAGAGACTGGGCACTGTAGTGTCATACTGCCTTTCACGGGTCCTGTCCTAGTCGCACCGTTTGCTGCTCCTCATTTTCCTTTATCTAATGACATACCATATGGGGCTTCCTGTAGCCCTATTATCTTGTCATTAACTGCCCTTTAAGAGTTAGGAAACTTATTACAATAATACCATACCATTTCATTTAATGCCCAAATATATTCGACTAAAGATGCTGTAAGATATTTTTTCATTTATATTATTATATGGAGTTCTAATCGCATGTTTAATACTATATCTCAAGTGCTGCACTAATCTCAGCTTTATAATACTATAATGAAGGTGAAAGGTGCAGTGGGGATACCTGATTTGCATTTTATAATACTGCAAACCAGCCAAGATTAATTACATGTAACTCTGACTTTGCCTCACACCTCTGTGGTTAATGTTTCAGTTCTTAGCTCCAGCTGAGTGTGCAGTGCATGTTCTCCTTATGTGGGTACTCCAGTTTCCTGCCGCAGTGCAAAAGCCATACAAGTGGTATATTTAAATTTTTTCAAATTTATTTTTATTTTTAATTTCACAGCATGTCCTATTTAGTGTACAACAGGAATAAATATGTTTCCTTACAGTGAAAAGATAGATGCAAAAACAAAATGTCCACTACAGTGGACAATGAATGGGCGGGGTCTCAGGAGGATATAACTTTTTTTCATTAATTTGAAATAGAAAATAGATTTTTAAAACTAATTTGTTCATTTGCTGTGATATAATCACTTTTCATGTTGATAAGTATACATTATTATCTAAATCTGTGTCAGTAGATGTGGGCTTGCACCTGTTTGCATCAAGCTACAATATCCAGTTTTTAAAAAAATATCCACCGTATTTTGGTGTGTCTCGTTCTTTCGGCACACGTCCACTTCCCACTCAAGGCCATTCATGGATTGGTATTATCTAGTCTATATAACCAAGCATTTTATCTGCCTGCTCCTAATTGCCTTGCCTCTAACAGCAGGGAGAGGGATTAAAGATCTTCTGGATTGCCGACCTTGTGTTCTTTTTAACTGTTGGGGTGTTTAGGTAAAAGACAGCTACAGTGATCTGAAGAACATAGATTGTTTCTCAGCTGAAAATGTTTGGTACCACTTACACAGCAAATTAGGCCACTAAAATTGAAACGTCAAGACACATAGTTTACCAGGCTGGCCGGATCGAGGCGTACTGTAGGTAAATTTGACATCTGGCTAGGGCCCGATAGACATAAGGGGGCCCAGAAGTCTAGAGAGACCTCTCCCTCCCGCATTTCGGTGAAATGTACTAAGGGCGACCCCCCCCTAAAAATTAATTTTGGTTACAAGCCACTGTAAATGTCGACCCAAACCTGATAGTGTATGATTTATGCCATTTAGGAGCCATGAGAAAAGTGACTCATTTAATCATGGACACTACAGAGGGATGGCAGGGAGACTCAGTAGGTAGAAGTGTCACCTTACACCTTCAGGACTGAGGATCTCAATCCCACATGCTCTGTGTGTGTGGAGTCATATTGGTTTTCCTAAGGTACCCCATATTTCTCCTGCAGTCATGAATTTTGGTTAATAGCTGTCCCTAAACCGCCTGTAGCGTGTGCGGATGAGAGTGTGTTTGTACACTCACCTAAAGGATTATTAGGAACAC